TGTGTGTGTGTGTGTGTGTGTGTGTGTGTGTGTGTGTGTGTGTTTATGTTTTTGTACGTGCATGTATGTATTTGTGGCATTTTTAGACTGGGTATCCTGCTTTACATGGCTTAGTCAATGCAGTGCAGAATGTCTTATCAGGGGTGTTCTGAATGATAATATTCAGGGGCGGGCAGAAGAATATGGTCAGGCTATAATTTTTATATCGTCACTTGTTTTTTTTTAAACTACCAAACTCCTACCATGGCGAAGAAACAACGTAAGAACTTTAAAAAATTGTTTTGAGGTCTTCTGTTAATACTATTCGTTTAAAATACTTTGCAGCGTTTTAAGTTATCCCTCGTCACTTTCCCCAGGGACCGGCTCGGAGGGTCTGGAAGGTACAAACAACAAGTATCCTTCCAAAGAGAACTCGGCCTTGTCTTCGAAACGAGCAGGTTCCAATTATACCATGCTCATCCTTCTCCTAACACTGGCTGCTGTAATGAGGTCGTGACCTCACCAAGGTAGTTGAAGGTCACCAGAGGTCACCGGGCGTTGCTCCAGATACAGCTGTTTTCCCTTTGCCATTTGTCCTACGTAAGGAGTTTGAAGTTTCAAGAGATATTACGGTATAAACTGTCTTCGATATGTACACGTCGTTACTTCGAAAATGTTCACCTGATTAAGAGACAAGACCTGTAATAGGTGAAAATGTGTTCTATGGCTCTGAAGCTCGACGAATCTTGCGCCGTTTAATTATAATTTTAGCACACGCAATGTTTCACAAATGGATTGCTCCTTCGACCTGTGGTTCATGACTGTGAGTGCGTCGATGACAATAACAATGGTCCGCAAAGTCAGCGCTGTTTTTGATAATGAGCCTGTGTGTCATTGAAATATCCCGAGATCTTTGTACCATATGAGCGAAATGCTTGTAACAAAGCATTTTCGGGCCAGTGACCCTTCGAGACGACGACCCAGAGCACCCCGGCTGGAGCAGTCCAAAGCTCTGTACACATTGGCATCATAATGGTCACCTCTTCCCTTTCCAGATTTCCAGGTTTCTCTTTTACATCTCCTGAAAAAAAAGATTCTGTCCTGTGTACATAATGATAGCTGTGTGGCCTGTGCGTTCTCAACAGACAAACGACTCACTCTCATTGTGGGTCTCTTCTGAACACAGACAGCTGTCTTTCTCTTTGTACCACGAAACGATATGAGGGCAATAGGACCGACGAGCACAAAATGCTTTGATGAGGAAATATTTTGGAATGGCACCAGAGACAAGCACGGAGATTAGTAACTTTGTCGAACTGTACATGTATTTACTTTTGGCTAAGGTTGTAAGTAATTTGCCTCTGTGTCGTTAATAATTATTATTTGTACAAGTAATTGTAAAATATTTGTATACAAACCCTCTGCGTATTGTGTCTGCATTGTTTTCTGTGCTGCCTCAAATTGGGCAGATTTCAGATTTCACACAATGGTATGTTTATCTTCCCTGCTGCACTTTTCTTTCTGTATACAATCTTAACCACCAAGTACAAACAGATATTGGAATCCTGGCTTACGAATGTCGCTCTAAGTTCAATGATTCGTTTTCAGGTTTCTCAAACCCATGGTTAATGAATTGAACTTTGGCAAAAGACAAAAGCTAAAGGCATTCGAGGATTGGACAAAAATTGAAAAGAGATTATCCGTATGTCTCTATGTGTGTGTATGGATTTCTCTCTGTATTTGTGTGTGTGTGTGTGTGTGTGTGT